AGATGTGAATAAGAGACAAACAGCATTATATTTGTTGATTTGTGCTTCGTGAATAAATAAAGTTTTACTACTACATTGGTGCTCTAGTTGTCATCGTTGGTGTTATGGTGGACCTGAAATCAAAACTGAACGTCTGTGTTCGTAGCTGTCGTCGTCGTCGTCGTCATCATTCTCGTTAGCTGAATCAATGTCATTAAAGAATTGAGAGAAATCGAGTGGTACAATTTTGTCATAATTACTACGCGTAGTAAAGGTGTAATTTCCAAAATAAATAATTATATATAATGTTAGATGCAGTTCAGTAGATATTAGACGTTATACGTACAGTAAATTGGTGGCGCTATACAACTAATTGGTTTGTGGTGTTTTGACACAATTTTACCGCGAGTGGTACAATTTTGTCATAATTACTACGCGTAGTAAAGGTGTAATTTCCAAAATAAATAATTATATATAATGTTAGATGCAGTTCAGTAGATATTAGACGTTATACGTACAGTAAATTGGTGGCGCTATACAACTAATTGGTTTACGATGGTCATGATGCTAACACGTGGTGTTTTGACACAATTTTACCGCGAGTGGTACAATTTTGTCATAATTACTACGCGTAGTACGCGTAGTACGTGTAGTACGCGTAGTACGTGTAGTACGCGTAGTACGTGTAGTACGCGTAGTACGTGTACTACGTGTAGTACGCGTACTACGCGTAGTAATTATGACACAGTTGAACCGCCATAGCATAGTTCCCGCTGTCTTCCTGCATCGACACGCATTGCCCCAACGACTTCGCGCATGGGCGGCTGAAGTCGTCGTGGCGCTTCTTCCCGCTTGGGCGGCATGCTATACATATAGCGTAGTTTTTATCTTCGACTCGCTATGGACGAATCAACATGATGAATCCCAGAGACAGTGTTATTGCACAACAAAGAAGGTGTCTATATCTGGCAAATGCGGGATTATTACTCCTTGAAGAGCAGGAGAAAACAGAAAGAAGAACATTCCTAATAGACCTCTCCGGAGTGTCAATCAAACTTAACAACTGACTAATCAGAACATCGCTAGGAATACGCGCGCGTCTCACAAACACACGTGTTGTCCCACAAACGCACGTGTTCGCCTATGTTTTAACCATAGAGAAAATAGAACAGCCTCTATGGTTTTAACACTGTCGCCTTGTGGGACCTTAGCAACTATATCCAAGGGGCGGAGCTCAGCGGAAAGGTCCCTGACACGCACAGTCGCACAGTGGGCCAGAATTGTTTTAAATAGTGCCAAAAGTCAATACCCATAAGAAAATACTGATTATGTTCGTGTTAAGACTGTTTTAGGGGTTTTCAAACCTGCTGAATTCAATTAAACTATTTTAAAATATGTATGACGTCATCAAATTACTGTTTTTTGATTGGATGAGTAAAATATCATTGTAATACCTAGGAAGATTCATATTACCTTGGTTATTAGAACATATAAGGGGTTTTCTAACCTGTAGATTTCAACGCAAGCATATTTAAATATGTATGACGTCATTAAAGTATTTTTTTTATTGGACGACGTAAAATTTAAGATCTAAACAAAATAACTTACCAGAGCTCAGTATGACACGAATGAGGGTTTCTAGACCTGCAAATCCAAATTAGAACATTTTACACTTTATGTGACATTATTAAAATACATTTCTTCAAAGAAAAGGGTGGAAGGTGGAGTGTTAAGAAGACACCCGCAGTACCCCCTTAGTCCGCGTCCACCCTATCAGTCAGCCCTCACCAGTAAAAATAAGCACAAAAGATCACGGTCAAACAGAGAATTTATCTAATATCGCTATAATTTGCGTGAGCAATAATTGTTGTATTTGAATGGATGCTAAATAAATAAATGAAAAAAAAAGAAATTAAATGAGCGGTCCCACTTCATCGGGCATTTACCCCCATCCCATCACTCACCTTGAGATGCCCTTATCATCTCCAGAGGCAATTTGGCTTCAGATTTAGGACGGAGTCAAAATGTTAAAAAAAATAATAAATAAATAAAAACAAAAGAGAAAGTGTCGGAAAAAAATGATTATTAGAATAATTGACCTCAAAATGAAAGGGGGTCGAGGTCCTCCCCGGAAAAATGTTGTTTCCTAAATGTCGAGAAATGAGAGTTCCCGACTTTTGAGGTGTATTTTAATGACATTTAAGTTTTTTAATGTTCAAGATTTTCCCTCCCTTGAAAACAGTCATGTCAACTTTGTCATTCTTATTACAGTAAACAGGCCTATGTGTGTATAAAAAATGAGTAGTTGCATACGTAGGCCTATTTTGTTTTCCATGAACCGATGAACCCCAAATAGGACGGTGGTGGAAAATGTTGATTCCTATATGTCGGGAAACGGGTTTTCTCAACTTCTGAAATGTTGGTTTCCTCTCTTGACGTTTTTTAATGAATCGATGAACCCTAAAGAGAAACCGGGGGAGAGGCGGAATCATGTTAGCCCCTGGCAAATTTTTATTCCTAGATTGCGGGAAGTGAGCTTTTCAGACTTCTGAAGTATCTTTTAATGACCTTTAATAAAAACAAAATCAAGGTTCACCCTATTGTAAACTTATTTTTTTTTCAATAGGGTATATTTTAATGCGAAAAACCAAAACGATGAGGTGAGCCACAAGCAATGATGTAGGAGTGAGAAGGGGAATTAGAACTACGATAACATGATGCAATTACAAAAATTCGACGAGAATGTCACATTGGCCTACAAGTAGAGCATACGCTAAGTATAGCATGATGACACGTTCCTGTCTCTTATACACATCTTAATAAGACTATGCGACTTCGCAAGTCGCATAGTCTTGTGATAGTATACATATTTCAATTCATTTGCCCACAGATGACAATTGTCATTGACGTTATGATTGTCCGTACCTTTTCTATACTGTTTTTACATATAATGCTTTTTAAATTCTATTTGTACTTGTGATTTTGCCAACTGAAGATGTTTTTCCTTTGCATTTTATATGATCGAAAATAAAGTTTTATTCGTATTCGTAAGTTTAGCTTAACCCACTGCTGTCTCTTATACACATCTAGATGGCCGGCAATTCTAACTTTTAAGTTGGTTTTATGAAAAAAATGTTTTTAAGCGTTTTTGGCTCATATTTAGTGTCCTTTATTCTAAAAATATACCAATAATGTCATTTTTTATTTTACTATCTAATTTAGTTAACAATACGTAAATACTGCAAGAAGTATCAAGTTGACTGCTTTCATCTAAGTAAAGTCATAGGGAGTTTTTCAAAACTGTCAATTTTATCATTTTACGAGTAAAATACAACTTCTTCATGTTTACATGGTTATATCACACTATGAAAATTCACTAAATATGAAATTATTGGTGAATTAATATAATTTAGGATGTTCTCGACCTCAAACAACCTTTAAAAGTTGAAGTTGTCACATTACCTATTTTCGACTTTTGGCAACACTTTGAATTGATTCTGGCCCACTGTGCGTCGGTAGTGTTTGTACAGTGTTCACGCATACTTCACGCATATGGCACGAACATTGATAAGTGCCGAATTTTTGAACACTTTAAAATTTCACCTACTCCTCACGCTCGTTCCCGAAGACTTTAATTATTACCGAGCATTCGTTTGAGGACGGTGAGCGCACAGTACAGAGGAACCAACAGACCTTGACCGTACTCGCAACCAAGCTTCCGTCCTGTTCAGAAGTTGTTTCGTTTCCGTTTACGTGACGGGGGAATATGCGTGCGAACGCGCGCCCTCACTTTAGTTACCAAAACATGGCGAACTTACACAGAGTTCAAGAGGCACTTGTCGCTGCGTAGGCATTATTATAAGCTAGGCCTAGGCCGGACGTACCTTAATAAATTGGGGCCTAGCTAGACCCAGGCCCGGCTAGAACCGAGCCGAGGCTGTCCATCTAGGCCTACAGTAAATCTACATTTACTAGGCTAAATCATATTCATCCTAAATTTATGTGAACATGAAACCATAATTTCATGAAGTGTTATCATAAGTTAACAACGAGATACATCAGTCACCAATTCTGACTACATTGTAATCGCCTTTACACTCGCCACGTGATGCTGACATACAAGACAACCCGTTGCGTTCTAAAGCGGACGCTGTTTTCAGTCAGAACCGTCCTCAAATTCCGCGGTACGGTGAGATGCAATCTTTCACGCATGCGCAAATGAATTTTCGGCTCCAATTACCGTACTAGATTTCTCCCGTACTGAAACGAAAGCTCGCTAATTGGCACGCCGAAGCGCGCCAGCTGCAGTGCGAGATCGAAAATCGTGCAAGTGTCAGGGTGGCAGTAGGGGTGGCATTAAGCTACATTTACACTAGACACGATAACGACACGACAACGACACGATGAAAATGCGCTCAGGGTTGAATATAAACGACGCTATGATATGTCGTTGTGTCGTTATAGACAGGCGATTGTTGGTCTTCTACTTAAACAGCATTGACTATGTCATAACATTAAATTCAAAAACAGACATGGAAACTAACAGCATCTAATTTGTAGACATCATCTTGCCACAGAATAGTCTACAATAACGCAATTGTAGCGTCGTATCTCCTATCAACATCCTTGCAGACAAGAGCCTAATAAGAATCTTGGATGGAATTGCTTTTCATTTATGGAAAATGCATCATGATTAGGCCTATTTTTTGTTTTGCGAAATTCAAAGATCATTCAATTACAGCAGTTGTGTTTGTGTTCATGATGATTGTCTTTGAGAAACAACGTCCAACTTCATAAATGTTCTCGTTCGTATGAAAGAATATCTTACATAAAGAGTAAGCAATTAATATATATTGAAATAAATTTATTTTTCAGTAGTAGCTCATATATTTTGGTTACATGTTATCCCAACACACGCCGACATTTGGGCATGCTATCATTTCACAAATCACAAATCAATTTATTCAATCCAACAAAATCAGCCGATTCTACCTAAATGATCAGTTTCGGTGACAAATAAAATGCTGATACACTTCTATACTGGTGACAGCACCAGTCACCAATCATCTGATCAGAATCCCCTTTTCAGGTTTGGTGACAGTATCATGAATGATGATCTATGAGGTAGAATCGGTTGACAAAATAATATATCATAATGTTTAAAATAAAAGGATAAAAGAAAATTGAAATTGTAAGACTGTAGGGAGACATTAAGACAAGAGGTCGCAAGCATGAGAGCCACCCAGTAAATTAAATAATTAATGAAAATTTAAAAAGAAAACAAAAATTAAACACATTTTTATTTTTCATTTTATGTTAAAAAACTAATGTAAAGCTTCTCTCTTCTAAAAAAAAATATTGTATATGGCTGGAAATACTTAAAATAATATATAGATTCATATAAATAACATTTTATTTCTTTATTCTAAATAATTAAGCATATTCTAATAAGAGCTTGAAGTAGCTCTCACAAAAACTATTAACATTCATTCCTATGTGAACAATATATTTTGCTCAAACATGAGACGAGGAGGAATGTAGTGAGCTTCTTTAAAAACCTTAATTTTCCCCTCTTTTGTTGGCCTACCAGTAAGTCAACCTTGATGAGCCGTAGGTTAAGCATCATTCATTTTGGATAATTAATTGGATACTTTGTACTGCAATTGAAGTCATTCTCAAACGTCATTTGGTTAGACGAGTAACATCTCTTCCTCAACGTAAAATCTTTCTCGAAACAAATCCTAATTTCGCTGAGGAATCGTTTGCCCTGTACCTGCATATGGAAAACACACATAATTCGTCATTAATATAATTGGCGTGGTGAGGGCGTTTTTCACTTTTAGTGAATCCTCACTCAGTACTTATGAGCGTTGGCAATGCAGGCAATAAATCAAAGACTTATAACTGTTACCAGGATAGGAAGCTGGCTGGTTTAAGCCTAGCCTGGGTTCCAGGCCCTAATTTTGGGTTATTCACTCTTTATTGCACTTAGTGCGCGCCATACCTAATATAATTGGCGTCCCATAATCAATTTCTTTTTTTTCGAATTAGGGCCTAGGCAAACGATTCATGCGTACGATTTCCACATCAAATTTGATGTGGGATATCGTATGCATGACTGATTTTGTAAATCACGTGATTGGCTTACTTCATGCATATTAATTAATCTGGGTAAATTTTTAAAATTGAAGATGCGGATGTCTCAAGCTAAAACAATTATAGTCCTGGCCTGCTGAGAACTATGGGCGGCCATTAGGGCCAAAATAGACAAACATTGGCGTACGAACAATCCCACTCTCACGCAGTAAGGACAATAAAAATTGCCGTAAGCACAATACAAACTGCCGTAAGGACAATACAAATTGCCGTAAAGACAATACAAATTCTCGTAAGGACAAGAAAATCACTCGCCGTAAAGACAAGACAAACTCTCGTAAGGACAAGACAATCACTCGCCGTACAGACAAGACAATTCGCCGTAAGGACAATACGTTAAGGACGTTAAGGGCAGCATATTTTATGAGGCGACAAGGTTATTTTTAGCATAGCGTAACAAAATGGTGCAGGCCACCCCCCTATTATAAATAGATTAGGCCACTCCCTAATGCTGGGAGCCGATTGGCTATCTAAAAATAGCTGGGTTGGGATCTTAAGACCCATCGCCCAAGACATGTACAGTAGTAGTTGAGCTCTGGATCTCATGAAGTTTAGAACTGGGAAATTCCGACGTTTAGACCATGGGGTGAAGCTCAAAAGACGTCTAGAAAACGAATTCCGTTCCGATCTTTTCATAATAAAAAATTTAGGCCTACAATAGTTAAGTAATATGTATTGAATCAAATATAAAAAGTTCGACAAAAACAAAA